AGAAGTTTATCATATACCTGTGTATGAAATTCACAATGGCCGATATGTAAGTAAACAAGATGACTGTAATGTGTTAGTTATATATTCTTCACTTCGTCTATGCAATACATAAGAAATAGTTTGGTTGCAATAAAGTAGAATCACGTAACAGAATAGTTGTGTAGTTGACAAAAACTGAATCTTGCACTGACGCAAATGTCCTATAGCGGCTGCAAGGGGCTTACACTTTTGTTGTATAAATGTTATCTGCAGTCCATATATAACCTCTTAAATGACTGAAGTGTCCTATTAGGTGTGCCCATTCCGCTTGTATAGCTGTTCTAAGAGGGTTTTGCCAATGTTCTTACAGTATACAAAGCTGTGTAAGGAATACCGTATAATCATTTTTGCAACTCTAATAGGAGTGATAATTGTTAGTTGGGAAGCATTAACATTTCAAGTAAATTTATTTTCAAGCCAATTAGTTTCTAAAAATTTCAAGCAACTGGACGAATCCCTATTTCCTCCAGTAAACCTCCAAGAATCGTAAAACCCGTACAACGACCTCATCCACAATCGCACGAATCTGGTGCGTAGCCCCTCAGAGGGTGATATGCGTGTACAACGGTTCTAAGAGCAGCCCTTGAAAGGGCGGTTAATCTCGCCCTCAGAGAGATAGCGCGACGGTGGAATTTATGCAAAGAAACCGCCCGCGCCCTCGATGTTTATAGATATTATCAGCTCGGTCACCTTTAATAAGTCATGAGAGTTGACAAGGCGCGCCCGACGCGGCTCAGTCGGTCACCGGAAACCCTTCCGGTTTATGGCGAGGCGGTGTGACGGTGTGGCGTGTGCTGGGATTGGAGGGGTTCGAATGAATAGTCGTATGGTAGATTGAGGTGGATTTAAAAACGGGATATTAGCGTAAGATTAGTAGAACTGGGAAACGCCTCCTCGTTTAGATTGTTCCGCAACCTCCAAACCCTTGGAGCAAAGGAGCGGCCATATCGGCCAGTTGTGGTTGCAAGAAGTTCGACACGTCAAGCAGCAAGGCCTGTTGGCCTAGCGGTGGAAGGAGCTAGATCGCCGACGGCTTGCCGATGATGTCCGTTAGGGAAGTGTCAATAATTCGTTCTGTGAACGTCATCGAACATGGACAATGTAGTCGGGGCGGCAACACGCCAAACTTATAGACTTTCTGTTTATCTAATTTTTTATCTGCCTAAACTTAGCAGAACCCAGGCTGTTCCACAATCTCGACACCTTAGGAACGAAGGAGTGGTCGTACTGGCCAGTTCTCAATGTGCGAAGTTCGACATAGTTGCGATGAGAGGCAGAAGCGTGGCGGGTCCGACTAGCAGGCTCAACGCGCGGCGGCATCATGAAGAAGCAAAATCTGTCGTCATAGCGGCAGAAGAAAGCAAGATCGCCGACTGTACGTCAATGCGAAAGGGTTCCGAGACTGTCCGCTTCAGAAGTATCATTGACCAGTAGAAAAGAGCTTCTCTGCATCGAGTGTGGACAATGTAGTCAGTGCGAGGGAACTCCAAACATTTGAGCAGTACTCGAGGCTATGTTTTATCTGGAAATTGTGCAAAGTGAGGAGAGAAGTACGAGGGGGTACCTAAAAAAAAACAGGAATTATTTTTTAAATGCTACTTATTTTCAAGTTTTTCACAAAGTAACCTTACTTCCTTCAAAAGGTGCATCACCGAACACTGTTTCGCAATCCTCCAAATAGCACAAGCCCTGGAATTTTCGTCGACTCGGGCAGTTGCTGGATGTCCAGAGCGAGGTTTATCATCAATCGACATGCCGCCATTTTTAAATCGAGCAAACCACTCGTACACTTGAGTTTTTCCCATAGCATCATCTTTGTAAGATATTTTCGACATCCAAACGGTTTTAGCAGCATTTTTACCAATAAGAAAGCTTCACAGCTGCATGTTGGTATCTGAAGCTTGCCATAGTAAAACACGAAACAAGCGCGAAACAACTCTAGCAAAAATAATGATTACAGAGGAACGAAACAAGCCAGATCTACAACTCAGGTGGCACTGAACTGGTAATGAGTTGCGCTGTACGCCTCTAGGGGCAGAACTGTGTACTACACAAGCTCCGCCCAATGCAATGCTATTCCGGTTATTATTGGATAACTTCGCGTCAGTGCTACCAGGTCTACCGATTTTTCGGTAGATCTACCGATTTTGGTCCTGGTCTACCGAACTACCGATTTTAAAGCAATATCTACCGAAAAGTGGACTTTTCCTTCAATTGAATAATTTTTGTTCCCTATATAAGAGAAATATTTCTGATGCATAGCGATAAAAAGAATGACAAAAGAGCTATTATTAATCGTACTAGACCAGATATTTTTTTATTCCCTTTGCCTGACATTGGTGTGCCACATACGCTGATTCTTTGCGTCTGGGGAAACACCGAAGATACTCGATGATCTCGCGTGCGTGTGCCCAACATTATAAGGAAGACTGGGAAGAATTGCCAGATTTCCAAGGCTGGCTTAAAAAATCAATAAATGGCACGATTATGTGAAATGCATGGTCTGTGATAAATACATTAATATCAAAAGTGGAAGAGATGCACTTATAAAACACGCAAATGGGCAATTTCATACAAAAGTGCAAACCATAGCAGAACAGTCAAAACCGTTGTGATTTGCAGTTGTTGGTGCATAAAAGAAATTAGAAAATGATATTAAAGAAGGTAAAATTAATTAATCTATTGAAGAAGATTTGAGATTATATAGATTATTTTATTATTTCCAGGAGAAACCATTTGGCAAAGCAAAATTAGTAGATAATATACAAAAATGAATCGGAAGAATGATTATCCAATATAGCTTACACATTTTTTATTTTATACACTTTTTCTGTCTTTTATTAAGAGTATTTTATTAAAGTAAGATATAAACTGTTTATTTTTATTATGTCTTTCTGTTTTAGAGTATGTTTTGAGTTAAATAAAATTGTTTTAAGTTGTAGGCCTTCATTTGCTCTTCGGGATTCAATCTACCGAAAAACTACCGAAAAATTCCATACAATTCTACCGAAATATCGTCGACTCCACCTGGCAACACTTCTTCTCGTACGTCTCAGCCCTAATCAAATAGGCGTGGCAAAAGATGCTTTTCATCCAACATGAAGGCATAATATGTTTATTTAATATACGTGCGCCGATCAGAATTGTCTTGCTCATTGTCTCACAACTTAAAAGTCATTAAAACACGATGATATGAAGCCCTTCTACAATTTAAGCAGAGTAACATTGAGCAATCATGGAAACATTATAAAGAGATGCAACGAGAAAGGACAAATGGACAAAGCTGCTTATTTGCCTATTTTTGAACAGACAAAGGAACCACTAAGTATACCAGTTCATAGGACTTTAAAGTCTCTATATATCAGGCAGTCAAAGATATATGACATACCTGATCGGTTGAAAACACAGATGCTATAAGCTTCTTTGTTGATTTTTTTAACAACGATTAATGCTATACTAAAAGAATAACTACATAAATATCAGTTACTATACAAGGCAGAAATTTAATTTAAAACTTGCTGATCACAGACACATCATACAAACTTTCTGTCTTTCCATGACATCGGCGAAAACCTCAAGTTTTTCCTCTGTTCTGAAGACAATGCCTCCAGGACCGTGGATGTGTGGGATTTGTTCGCGCTTTCCGTTTTTGAGCGACTTCGCCTCCTTCCAGAGAGGAATGCTTGAGTCAAGCATCCACGCCATAAAGTCGTTCCATTGCTCATTGCGGAATTCATGAAGAGCATTTCTTACTTCATGAACAAGATTCGTCGCTCTGTGAATGTCATCGGGATGACAAGACCTTTTCGCTTGCTTAATTGCAGCCCTTTTATCAGAAATTTTCTGATGAATGTCTGCTGGCAAAAAAAGTCTGCCGGGCAGCTGCACGGGAAGTACACCTGCCGCAGAGCTTGCTGAACAAAACCTGTCCACTCCGCTTGAGCCGCATCTATACCGTTCTCATCATCTATGATCGGAATATTGGGGAACTCTCTGAGGAGCGACTTGTATAGCTCCCAATCAATGCGTTTCCTTGGAGCGGGTTCATCTCCCAAGAAGATTCGAGAAGTGATACTGTATTTACAGTTTCTGGATAATGCAAAATCAAGAACATCAGGTGCCTGAAGGTGATTAAATGGGTGGTGCATTGGCTCCTCAGTACTATGTATGAGGTAGCCATTTTGTATCACATGGTTGTACAGTCGGATTCCACTGGTAGAATTCAATCTAGAATGTCATGCTCGATGGTTGCAGTTGGAGTCCCCTGCCACAATAAGTGGACCCGAGCAGTCTGAAAGAACTTCCAGATCCTCCTCTTGCAGCCTGATACCACACCTGACAAACACCGATGTGATTTTTAACGGCACACCTCCCGGGGTATTGACCACTTCTGTGGTAGTCAATCCCGCTTTTCACTAGCACTGCCAAGCCGCCACCCCGTCCAGTCAATCTATCAGCTCGGATAACATCGTAATTCGGGAAATCTAGACGATCTTCCGGATTAAGTAATGTTTCCTGCAGCAAGGCCACATCTATACTTTCGTCCACAAGAGCTTGATGAAATTGTCGTTTTTTGGAAATCAGAGGACTTATGATCTGCTGTGAGGACCTTAGCGCGGTTGCCAGGTCCACATTTTGCATGTTCACAGAAGATCTTACAGAGGAGGAAGCTCGGGTTGTATCCCTAGCTGCATCCGCGTAACTTGCATCGCGCCTTTGCGCTATCACTTGCAGATTTTTCCTAGGGGCAAATCTGCAAGTTCGGCTATTCGCTGGGTGCCCCCCTCCACAGTTTGCGCACATTCGTTCCGCTTGTTCTGTTTGAGGGCAAAAGTGGGTCATGTGGTCAGAAGCCAAACCTAGCAGCTCATGTTCGTTGAACAGCTGAAGAGATTTTTCTATATTGGGCAGTATCACTGATACCAAAGGCATGGGCACGCCGCAGCCGCGTTTCAGGCGAATTATGTACAGGGGGAATATCCCCTCTGTTGGCACTCTTCCTTGATCTCCATTTCAGAAGGTCTCGCAGGTACTCCCCTGATTACAGCATGAATGCTCCTCTCCGACGGTAGAAGGAAAGTGTGGTGGTGCACCTCTTCCTCCCTGAAGAGACGGTAATCATCCTCGGAATTGGGAATTAGCCTGATTACCGCATCGACGGCAACCGCGCGTTCGAATTTGATGCCCAAAGAAATGAAGTTGTGATTTACGCCTCGCCATCTCGAAGTATCAAGAAGAACGATGGGGGTAACACGTACCTTGCGTGGGGGCTGTGCAGTCGTGTGTTCTGATACCTGAGATGTCAGAAGCGAAGAAGTAACCGATAGATTAGACACAGGCTGTTTATTAGAGTCGCTTGGAGTTGAACGAGACGTTTCAGACTGCGATTTTGGTGGAGGACGGAGAGGAGGAAAGCGTGTCATGTCGGTCCTGTTTCGTCCCGTTTTGCGGGGATTAACCTTGATAAAACCGTCAGGGAGTGAGTCGTCGTCAGCGGAATGATCGCTTGAATTATTTAACGGTCTCTTAAGTTCCAGCTTTGTCTTTACTGGGATTTTGTTGGAGTGTTTGGGAAGAATATGTAATATTTAGATGGGAAAGTACCTGGGTTTTTAGTAGAAGGTCTAATTTAACTGTTAGGTCGTTAATTGTCCGCTGCTGGGCTTCGATGATCATCATAAATCTTTCATTCGTCTTCTTATCATCGTCCTTTTTTGACAGCTCCTGTAGAACCATCTCCAATTCGACTCTCAACTCCTCTACGGTCTGCTCCTTCGAGTTCGTCTCAATTGCCATGGTGGAAGCGCCATTTTCTGACCCCCCTGTGTCAGTTTCCATAGTAAATACCTCAGTTATCTTGCTTTTTGTCTCAAAAATTTTCCGGATTGAAGTTACGGGACAGCTGCTATCAGGGCGATTTGAAGACGCCTTTATGGCCTTCCGTGTCAGCGCTATATTTTGAGGTAAAGTTATAAATACCTATTTGCATCAAATTGTTTATTCTTTTGATTTATATCATCTGGTGTATATACCAGCCCCTTCCCACTTCAGTTGGCCCACTTCAAGATTTGTACCAAAATATGCCATTATAAACTAAACATGACGAAACTATTTACTTCTAAAACATTCTAGATACACTCTAGTCGTAAAAAATACATATTTGAAATCATTTAGACCTATACTTAATAGAACATCTGAACAAATAAACAATGTGCGAAGTTAACAAAGCAACAATTGAAAGATTACCATTGGGTGACATCACCTTTATTTTTTATTACGGCTGAAATACTTTGGGGCGTAGTGTTAACCAAGTTTTGGCAAAAATTTGGTGTAAAACAATCCCATATTTCTTGAAGCTTTTGTCTCAGTTCGGTGATTGTACGAGCAGGATGTTGTCGTTGAACCTTTTTCTTCTCGTGCCACAAAGTTTCAATAGGTAACAGATCTGGACTGCTAGAAACCCATTTCATAAGTGGTACATTATTTTCTTCCATCCATTTTATAGCCTTTTTTGAGGTATGGCACGCTGCACCATCTTGCTGAAACACAAAATCTTGGCCGGATGACAAACATTCTTCCATCACTGGTAAAAGCGATTCTTCTAGAATTGCCAAATATTTGTTTGTATCCACATTTCCATCAATAAAATGAAGTTTTCCTACTCCTTTTGATGACATACTGCCCCAGACCATAATGGATGCTGGAAGTTTCACTTTTCTCTTCAGACAGTCAACATGGAATGCTTCATTTTTTTTGCGAATGATTCTACTGCGCCTCATGACTCCGTTGTATTTCAAACAATTGTTGAGGTGTCTATTGTCTACCTTCTTTAGCCCATCTAAGCCGATTTTTCTTTTGCAGTGGAATTAATAGTGGCTTTTCTTTGGCCTATAAACAAGTTGTGCAACTTTACGGTTTTTACTTCACTTTTTTTATAAGAAAACTTAACTTGCAAGTGCTAAATCCCAGTTTGTGGGCCTCTCTATGAGTTGTGGACCTCGAAATTCTCCTTCCAATAGCGTCACTCCATAGAGCACTTAATTGTAAATAATTGGAACGCCTGTTTTTCACGATTACCCTTGCTCTTCGGTTGGCATTTGTGATATTACTTTTTTTCACATATCGTGGCTTAATATTAACTGAACCAGTTACGTTATATCTTCTAAAAATATTTCTCACACTGTACGATGATAAGTCTAACAAAGTTGCAATTTCTGAGTTTGATTTCCCAGAATTAAAAAAATTGATTATCAGTAACCGAATTTTCTCACTAATAACCTTTCCTCTACCCATTTTGAAAACCTTAACTACCCAAAACCATTTTAAACGTATTCTGACAGCTGTGATTAATAAAAACAATTATCATGGCTTTTATTTTTCACAGCCACCTATGCGTTATAGACTTATTTTGCATTGAAATGAAAATAGGTTGATATTCTGTAATTGTAACATGTGTTATTTTTATGCTGCAAATTTGTTTAGGGAGTGATACAGTTGGTGTTTTCTGCTATATATTATCAAAATATTCATTGTTACTATTTTTAACCTACGACACCCTGCTACATTTTTATTATTTGTATTTGATAAGAAAAAAACTAAGATTTCAATAGTTGGGCCAACTGAAGTGGGAAGGGGCTCGTATCATGTCATTTCCTACAATTCATAGAGAAAACATAGTCTCATGGTAGGAGAGCTTTGACGCTGACTCTGATCAGAAGAAATCTAGAAATAACCCAGCCTTTCTGAACGAGACAAAACACTACGAAAAATCAAAGAGGCCATAAAGGTGTCTTACAATTGTAGGGACGTCTGACGATACGGCCCCGTGTCTCAAACAATCTGATTGCTCAATCTCCCTACTGAGCTATTCTAAAGTAGCAGAACAAGCTATCTGCCTAGCCCCAGTTGCAAAACTATCTACAAACCGGCGTTTTAAATAGCGGATATTCCAGGACAATCGTAAAAGCATCCTCGTACGTTTTTCGCTGTCCTCAATTATAGAGGTAACTGCAAGCATTGCTCGGCCCGTAATTAGTTGGAAATGGCGAGTGTTACATGTACAAAACGTTCGACAGCGATGCCACTCGACAAACGGCAATTTAAAACTCCATTCAACTGCCGTTTGTTTGGAGTATCCGTGGACTTTTGATAAGGGACCTCTGGTCCGTATTGTGCGGTCTGGTGTGGTTTGTTGTGTGAACTGAGAATGCCGAAATAATAGGGATGATATTCGATAGGAATTGTTTGGGGATAATAGCGGTTCCAGGATCGATTATTTACTGGCTGCAGCTGACAGTCGGACATTCGTGAAAGGAGTTGGTGGGATTCGGTAGAGTTATGTGCATAACTACCTGCATGAATCTTCGCATTTAAGCAAGTGTTATATCAATGGGAAAGATATGATCTTTCTATATTTGCTCCACTGGGCGAGAAAGTATTGTTATCGCGAAAATTTTCGAAAATGAGATAGTCTTTGAATACCCAAAGAACAAGGAAACTGATGGAAGTTATTGAGGAAAGTATTATAATAATGGGTGATTTTTTTGCTAGTATCTTTTTGGCAACACTGTTTTTGACAGATGGCGCGTGAATTGTGTCTTGTGTCATTGTCAAACTTGTTCAGTTTGGTCTATAATTTAACCATGAATTGACTTACGAACGAACAACGCTTGCAAATTATTGAATTTTACTATCAAAATTCATGCTCGGTTAAGAGAGTGCAACGAGCACTGCTTCCAATTTATGGGCAATTTGGTCGGCATACTGAGTGAGCTATTCGGAAGCTTGTGACTAAATTTCGAACCCAGTTTACATTATTGGACATTAAACCACCCACACGCAGACGTAGAGTGAGGACTGAAGAAAATATTGCGGCTGTATCCGCCAGTGTTAGTGATGACCGTGAAATGTCGATTCGCCGCCGTTCGCAGCAATTGGGCCTCTGTTACTCCACTACGTGGAAAATTTTGCGACAGGATTTGGGTGTAAAACCTTATAAGATACAGCTAGTGCAAGAATTGAAGCCACATGACCTCTCACAACGTTTCCCATTTGGTGAATGGGCGCTGGCAAAGTTGGAGGAAGATCCACATCTTTATCGAAAAATTGTGATCGTGTGATTTAACTCCGTTGGACTATTTCTTGTAGGGCCATGTTAAGGCCAATATCTACAGGGATAAACCAGCAACGATTGACGCACTGGAAGCCAATATTGGAGCATTTATTCGTGAGATACCGGCCGATATGTTGGAGAGAGTGTGCCAAAATTGGACCTTGCGCATGGGCCATCTAAAGCTGAGCTACGGCCAACATTTACATGAAATAATCTTTAAACATTAAATTATATCGACCGTTCTATCGACTCAAATGCAGATTTAATCGTTTTTCATTTGTTTTTGTTTTTTTGAAAATCAAATCCTATACCTATTAAAAAATCACCCGTTATCTGTATGGAACATCTACTTTCTTAAATCTTAACAACATACAACTATTTATAACCAAAATAATCGTATTTTTGACTAATCAATATGTCTTTTACTTTTAATTCCAGCCGGGCAAATGATGGGAAAACGCGCAATTAATTTTTCTAAAGTGGATGGGGTTATTTTTTGCCATTCGACTTGTGATATTCCCTATAAGTCTTCTTGAGATGTAGGACAACATTTCCGTACTTGCCTGTCGAGTTCGTCCTACAGCAACTCTATGGGATTCAATTCCGGAGACTGAGGATGCCATTACATAACCTTCAAAATATTTTGGTTTTCTGTTGCTTCCAAAAATTGTTTACAGAGCTTGGCTGTGTGTTTGGGGTCATTATCATGCCGAAAGACAAACCGCGGACCAATAAGATGAATCCCAGAAGGCAAACATGATTTTGTAGTATGACTTTGTAACCTTCTTTATGCAGTATTCCCTGTACAGCCCCAAACAGTGGCGGCTCGTGGCAAAATAAAACAGGTGTTCTACAAATCCAAACTTACCTATTTTTTATATGTCAGTATGATCCTGCGCTCCTTTGATGAAACCATGCTGTGATAGTGTAATAGCCATATGAGAAGACAAGCGCGTCTTAGGAACACCGAAGAACAAAAGCAGTGAGCTAAATATGTTGCTTCCTCAACAAGTGCAAGAAAATTAAGCTTCAGATCCCGAGATAAATTCACAAGAAAGTTTGCCCTTCCCAACTCAGAGCACACAGCCGGATACTAATCAAACTCAAATGAGGAAAAGTTTCATAACTTCAAAATTAGTGACAGCATTAGGTCGGTGTCAGCTAAGTATGGGGAATGCTATTTTTATTATTGGAGCAACCATTGAGGCACTTGGACATAACACGGACGAGTTTCCTATAAGCAAGACCTCCATTCAAAGAATTCGTACCGAAAAGCGAAACGAGCACGCAGAAGCTATAAGGCTTGATTTTCAAAGCGAAGATCGGTTACTGTAGCTATCCACTTGGGTGTCAAATTACACTGACCAACAGCCAAAAAATATCCTAAATAAAATCAACAAAATATTACTATTTTTAATGTGCTAAAACCGGAATGAAACTTATTTTTTCAATATTAGTTCAAGTTTTAGAGATACGGTAATTATATGTGTTCCTGCGGTGACAGTGTTAATATACTGTAATTCACAAGAATGCACGTGCTACATTTTTATATTCGGCAAGGAAAGATGATGTAGTCGGCATGATTGTGTTACGTTATACATACGTGTACATTATATTGTTTTATATTAGCCATTTTTTCCTCAGTTGGCTGACAGCGTTCATGCAAGATGTCTTGAAAGTGTATTACTCCACTAATAACAAAGGCATATCAGCTTTATTTCGGTTGTAAACTAGGTGATCAAGACAAACAGTGGGCACCCCACATCTGCTGTAATACATGTGCTTCAAGTCTGAGGAGATGGTTAAATGGCAAAAAACGGTCTATGCGCTTTGCTGTCCCAATGGTTTGGAGAGAGCCTACAAATCAT